TTTAAAAATTTGGTACATCTTTAAAAATAATCTAAAATGTCAGTATTCCACGGGTATATTGATAAATGAGTTCTAAATTACAAGAAAATGCATTTTCTACGGAAACTTGAAGAGATAGGTAAAAAATGGTATAACACAATTTGATAGTCAATTAAATTGTGCATCTGATTTGCTTAAAATATACAGGGTGTTCCATTTAAATTAAACAAGTTATTGGCGTTTAAAGCTAGTAATTATTTAAAATAAATTTTTAGACACTCTGTATAAGGTAGTAAAGTTTTTATTATTGCAATACAATAACTGATCAATAAATAAATTTCAGTAAATATTTGTTATTAAAAACTTTGATACTATCGGAGAAATGAAGCCTTAAAATTTATACTGCAATTTCACAAAATTGAAGATATTTCAAAAACGGTAAGGTTTAAATGTAATAAACCTTAATCAAATTTACCTTTATTTTAATCGTAGAAACTAAAAATGTAATAATACATAGGGTGTTCCATTTAAAAAAATACAACTTTGATATTTTTTATTTATTTGGGACACTCTGTATCTTGTAAAAATATTTTTAAATTGTAGCTCTAATAGTCCTTCGACGAACCCAAAACTTACAATTTGTAAAAATCTAGCCGTTTAGCTACAATACTCCGTGTCGTATGTGGTGAACAACCCTGTATAACAAAAAAAATTATAAATTACGAAAAAGCAATTTTGGGGATTTATTTTGAATGTGCCCTATATCATTATATTTTTTCCTCATCTATTTGTTTTAGATTATGTCATTTTAAGTATTTGTTTAAGTTGAAACGTTCCAGGAAACATATGCAATAAAATGAATTTATTGCATTTTAGTTGCGAAATTTTGAAAATGCAGTATTACTTAATGCACTTCAATTAACTGTAATAGGTGATATAATTATAAAAGAGTGCTCGTTGGTGATATGCTATCTGAAAACAGTTTGAAACACTTTTATGCAATGTGTAGTGTTTATTAAAAAAATATGTGAAATACAAATTTTAGTAATTGGGATTTCCAATTAATTAATGAATTAAAGAGCAGATTATACAGGGTTGTTCACCACATACGACACGGAGTATTGTAGCTAAACGATGAGATTTTTACAAATTGTAAGTTTGGGGTTCGATGAAGGACTATTAGAGCTACAATTTAAAAATAATTTTAGAAGATACAGAGTGTCCCAAATAAGTAAAAAATGCTATAGTTGTATTTTTTTAAATGGAACACCCCGTATATTATTCTATTTTTAGATTCTACGATTGAAATAAAGGTAAATTTTATTAAGGTTTATCACACTTAAACCTTATCGTTTTTGAAATATTTTCAATTTTGTGAAATTGCAGTAAAAATTTTAAGGCTTCATTTCTCCAAGGGTATCAAAGTTTTTAATACTAAATATTTACTGAAGTTTATTTATTGATCAGTTATTGTGTTGCAATAATAAAAATGATACTACCTTATACAGAGTGTCTAAAATTTTATTTTAAATAATTACTAGCTTTAAACGGCAATAACTTGTTTAATTTAAATGGAACGCCCTATACATTTTCGGAAAATCAAATGCATAATTTAATTGTCTATCAAACTGTATTATACCACTTTTTACCTATCCCTTCAAGTTTTCGTAGAAAATGCATTTTCTTATAATTTAGACCTCATTTATCAATATACCCATGGAATATTGACATTTTAGATTGTTTTTAAAGCAGCAAATGTACAAAATGTACAGGCGAGTAATATTATCGTTTTTAACAAAATGATAATATTACTAGCCCATTTGTATGCAAAAAGAAAACTATTTAAATCTTCATAAAAGAGTATACTATTAATTAAATATATCACCATTATTTCCACCCAAATACTAATTAATTACATACTTAATTATGTTCGTGAATAAATTATTCTAAATAAATGTTGATTTGAATCAGAAATCAATATAATAATAAGTTATAAAAATGAATGTCTCTGTTGTTACAATTAAGCATTTGTCAAAAAATGAAATATCATTTTTAAGGTTTTATTTTTTAATGAAATAAACAAACTATATCGACAATATTAGTATCTGTACTCTTTAAAAATTTGGTACATCTTTGAAAATAATCTAAAATATCAGTATTCCATGGGTATATTGATAAATGAATTTAAAATTACAAGAAAATGCATTTTCTACGGAAACGTGAAGCTATAGGTAAAAAATGGTATAATACAATTTGAGAGACAATTAAATTGTGCATCTGATTCTCATAAAATATACAGGGTGTACTATTTAAATTAAACAAGTTATTGCCGTTTAAAGCTAGTAATTATTTAAAATAAAATTTTAGACACTCTGTATAAGGTAGTATAATTTTTATTATTGCAACACAATAACTGATCAATAAATAAACTTCAGTAAATATTTAGTATTAAAAACTTTGATACCCTTGGAGAAATGAAGCCTTAAAATTTTGACTGCAATTTCACAAAATTGAAAATATTTCAAGAACGGTAAGGTTTAAGTGTAATAAACCTTTATCAAATTTACTTTTATTTTAATCGTAGAAACTAAAAATGTAATAATATAGAGGGTGTTCCATTTAAAAAAATACAACTTTGATATTTTTTATTTATTTGGGACACTCTGTATCTTGTAAAAATATTTTTAAATTGTACCCACTAGTAGATATAAAAAGCATTTTTGGTAAACTCTGTCTCTAATAGTTTCTGAAAAATAAAATTATTTTTTTTAAAAATGTCCGATTAAATTAATATCTCCGAAACTAAAGTTCCAAAAAAATTCGTAATATTTCTACAAATTCATTTACCCACTAGTAGATATAAAAAGCATTTTTGGTAAACTCTGTCTCAAATAGTTTCTGAAAAATAAAATTAATTTTCTTAAAAAGGTCCGATTAAATTAATATCTCCGAAACTAAAGTTCCAAGAAAATTCGTAATATATCTAGAAATTCATTTACCCGCTAGTAGTTATAAAAAGCATTTTTGGTAAACTCTGTCTCTAATAGTTTCTGAAAAATAAAATTATTTTTTTTAAAAATGTCCGATTAAATGTATATCTCCGAAACTAAAGTTCCAAAAAAATTCGTAATATATCTAGAAATTAATTTACCCACTAGTAGATATAAAAAGCATTTTTGGTAAACTCTGTCTCAAATAGTTTCTGAAAAATAAAATTAATTTTCTTAAAAAGGTCCGATTAATAGGTCCAAACCAAAATAGTACCTCTAGTAGTCCTTCAACGAACCCCAAACTTACAATTTGTAAAAATCTCATCGTTTAGCTACAATACTCCGTGTCGTATGTGGTGAACAACCCTGTATAATAAAAAATGTTTATTGGTAATATTACTATGTATTATGTGTCTCTTTTAATAATTAATATGATATTATAGAATAAAAATATTAATATTAGGGCACAGACATTTTGTAATACTTTTATTAAAATTTTCTTATATATTTTTTTAAGTAAACACGAATTTATAAATTTAATAATAACTATATAAATAAATATGCTTGCTGGTTATATTACTAGCTACCTAATTATAAAGCCATTCTTACACGATGCGTTCAACGTTGGTTCCAACGTTGGAACCAACATTTGACACAGTTTTCGACAATGTTATACAATACACATATTTCGCAAGTGTGGCATATTATTGTCTTTTTCTTTCTCGTTTTTTTAGGGTTCCGTACCCAAACGGTAAAAACGGGAACCCTATTATTATTAAGACTTCGCTGTCCGTCCGTTTGTCCGTCTGTCACAAAGGTCTATCTTATGAACCGTTATAGCTAGACAGTTGAAATTTTTACAGATAATGTATCTATGTTGCCGCTATAAGAACAAATACTAAAAACAGAATTAAATAAATGTTTATAAATAAAAAAGTACTTTCACTAAACATTATCTTTTAAGTAAGAATTTTACATAGAATCTTTCCATAGAATATGACATTGGAGCCGTAGTAAGGCAGGTTCGAATCCTAGTCAAGGCGACTTTTTTTTAATCGTTTTTTTTTTAATTTTTACATATTTTTACATATTTATTGTTGATTAATATCTACAATTTTTAGTAATGTGTTTCTTTATTTTTTTTAAATTACTTATACGCGCATTCAAAATTTCAGCTAAATCTAAAAAAGAAGTTTATAATAATATAGTGTCTAATGTCGTATAGATAATGAATGGTACGGAACCCTTCGTGCGCGAGTCCGACTCGCACTTGATCAATTTTTTATTTATTTATAATTTTTATACTTTGAAATTGAATTTATACATACATTTTAAAATTTTATCAAAAAAACTTTAAATTATATAATTAAAACGCTTGTGATGGTATTACTACCTAATTACAACATGATTGGCAACATAACATATAAAATAAACAAAAAATATTAGATTTCTTTAGTTGTTTCTTTTAATTTATTTATTTACTAATTTTTTTTTCCTTATTTTTATATTTATAATATTTACTTTACAGAGAACTACGTTTATATGTTTTAAAATTCCTCAAAAAATCCTAAATCTTTATATAATAAAAAAAACAATATCTACTGGTAACATTACAAACTAAGGACAATTATTATATTTGTATAATATGATTGTAAAAAATTATTTAAAAAAATTAGAACTATGAAATTATAGATTAAAAATATCATTATTAGGCCGTCAATAATTATTTTAATATTAGTTTTATTTTAATTTTTTTCTTATATATTTTTTTATTTTTTATAATTTTTTTATTATTTCTTTTATTTTTTTTTATTTTTTTTCCGTTTATCATAAATCAATATTTATATGCATTTTGGTTGTTTTTTCAACAAAAATAAAGAAGCAACAAGAACACAGTTCTTTTTTTTTACTAAATTTTTTTGTTTTGTAGTGCAATATTTTATATGTTATCCAAATCTATGGATTATAGAGATAATTCCTGCTCACTATACAATATATATAGCTGTATATTTATTGCAGTAAGCGCTTCGCTGCCCCTTGCCACGGCTGTCAAGTGTTGTCGAAACGAGAAACTAAAAGCAAAGCTTTAGCTTAGCTAGTCAGTCGCTCCAAAGCTAGCCAAGAGAGAGTATAGCGTGTTGCCCGACTACTTCCGAGCTTATTCGCGTATACTTTTGCCGGGTTATTCAAACACAAACCCTTATTTTGCTCGTAACAAAATGTACTTAAAAATTAAACAGAAATAAAAAGGATTATAAAGTGTGATAAACAGTTATTAAATTCCCGGTTTCAAAATGTGGACGATGTTGGTGCTGGTTTTTGTTATAGTTTTGGTTTGTTTAGTTCAGTTATTTAGCTGTTTTAACATAGAAAACAGGGACCCTTATGTGAAAAAAGGTCCTGACAGTGGCATAAACAGTTATTTTGGATTTAGTGTGGCTTTGCATATGACTAAGGAGAATAGTAACAATATAGCTAATAATTGGTAAGATACTTTGAAAAATTTTCCAAAAAAATTGAATGAAATATGCAGAAATTCACTTCAAATGTATTAATTTTAAAAAATATATTAAAACAAATATTGGTAATTTTTTTAATTTTATTTATACACAAAAAATGAAGTTTTGAGTTTTAAGTATGTATATTGTTAGTTCCTGTATATTAAATAGTGCGTTTTTGCATTTATTTTTGTTAAAAAATTATTAAAATTATTTCATATTTCGAAAATTTGGGTTGGGTTTAAATATACAGAAAATTTAGTTTGTTGTCTTATTTGAAAAACTTATGGTATAGTATTTTTAGTTTAGCTATTTTATGGCATGTATTTTGACCAAAAAAAATAGAATTTTATTAAAAGAACTACAATTTTATCGTGAACATAATTTTAAATCAAACTACATATTAAGAGAAATTAAGAAAAGTTAAAAAAAACTATAAAAATATATAATTACAGCACTTATAACAGATTGTGTTAAATATATAGGGTTGTTCACCACATACGATACGGAGTATTGCAGTTAAACGATTAGATTTTTACAAATTGTAAGTTTTGGGTTCGTTGAAGGACTATTAAAGCTACAATTTAAAAATATTTTTACAAGATACTGAGTGTCCCAAATAAGTAAAAAATATTATAGTTGTATTTTTTTTAAATAGAACAGCCTGTATATTATTCTATTTTTGGATTCTACGATTGAAATAAAGGTAAATTTGATTAAGGTTTATCACACTTAAACCTTACCGTTTTTGAAATATTTTCAATTTTATGAAATTGCAGAAAAAAATTTAAGGCTTTATTTCTCCAAGGGTATAAAAGTTTTTAATACTAAATATTTACTGAAGATTATTTATTGGTCATATATTGTGTTGCAATAAAAATTTTACGACCTAATACAGAGTGTCCAAATTTTTTTATTAAATAATTACTAGCTTTTCTTCTTTTACCTTCAACAAACCCAAAACTTACAATTTGTAAAAATCTAATCGTTTAGCTACAATACTCCGTGTCGTATGTGGTGAACAACCCTGTATTTAAAAAATATACAAAACATGTTTGTGTTTTTAGTTTAATATACAAAATGTCTTAAATATACATATAATGAACTACAAAAAGAATAAGAAATTAAAAATATTAAATAAATATTAATCAAAAATAGATTTAACTGTAACAATATATATTATTATCTGTAAAATAACAATTAACATTAAAAAGAAATATAAATAAATTTGTGTGCTAACTTTGATGTAAACTGTTGCTGCTAGACATAAACTGATAGACTCCATAATGGGTAGTATAATACCATACCATCGAAAAAAACGGCGTCAGAGGTGGCTTGGAAATGAAGATTGCTGTTATTTTGTATGTAAAATTATATGGGGAATGTCATCGATCGTAATTTTTCAAGCCAATTGAACGTCGTTTTTTTTCGATGGTACAGTATAAATTGAAAGGTTTTAACTCATACAAATAGACTTCTAAATTTTGACGCAAAATTCATTGACATAATATGTAGGTATATTTTAGAGCTGTTAATAAAAATATCTAATGAATAACGTCAACATGTGGCTAAATAAAACTAAATCGCCAACGTTTTTACTATAAACTAAGGATGAAGTAAGTATTGTCAAATAACAGTCCTCATATAATGTCCTAAAAATTTTCTATAATGCTCCCAACATCATCCTTGTATTATCCTATTATCCTTAGGGATGTCTTGAAGATGACTTTTTTTGTCCCATCTGGATATACCACCAATATCCTCCTCTGGTTTTTGGATATCCCTAAGATATTTACTATATCCTTGTTGGATATCCTCAAGATATCTATAGGATTGTGTTGTGTTATATGGGTTAGTATCATCACTGTAATATTATTTTATTAAAGTCTGTAGAAAAAATATGCATATAATGCATATATTTTACTACGCATTTTATGTTTATTAGGTATGTAAATATAAAAAAAATGTATGTGCATATTTACTTTTTTTTTTTTAATTTCTAAAATTCAAAAATTGGTATGCATAAAATGCATATTTTTCTATTAATCGTGTTGGTTATAATTACAAATATATTTGAATAATTGAATTAATTACATAATTTAATGTAATTTTATTAGAAAATACCGTAAAAAATAATTTAAAAATAAACTAAACATGAAATAAGTATGTATTAATAAAAATATTGATACAAAAAACAAACATCTGTTCATAATTTTCCTTGTTATTATGTTTAAACTACGAACTTCATTTGAATACAACACATAATTGGACGCTTTCGTATTGCTTAATGATGACCTACATCAAACACTATTTTTAAGGAGTGATGTACATTTTCTGGTTCTCAAAAAAAACCAATAAAATAAAATGTGGGCTGGTATTATTTATGTTTAAGTGTCGTGACCTATAAAATAATAAAAAAGTACGTTTCAAAGCTCTTTAACATGGTAACATTCTAAAAAAAATTAATAATAATTAAAAAAAAGTTGACTCATTACAACGTCGAACATCCATCTGGGATATTTAAATTAATTTGTTTTAATTTCAAATTAAACGTTTAATGGTTGGTGGTAATTATTTAAATAATTAATTACAGTTAAACTTGAACAGTTATAGAATATAAACTAACCATATATAGGGTGAGTATTAAATAAGTGCAAATATTTCCAAGGCTGGTATATCTCGATAAAAGAAATACCATGTTAGCATCATCAGCAGATGCTTAATACCAACTAAAACTGTTTAATCTGCTGATGATGCTAACATGGTTAGCGAAACGCGCGTCCAGTGCAAAAGTAAAAGTGTTTTGGTGTATTGTGATGATTTAGTGTTTTATTTTGCTGTTGTTGATAACACCAAAGCACAAATTAACTACAACAGATGCGAAAGAACACCGAATTAAGCTTGTCGCCCACTTGTCCGGCACAGCACGGACCGTAGCTGCTCGTCGCCTGCAGGCGACGGAGAGCTTGGTCGCCCACTTTGCCGCAGGAAACCGGCAAGCCGTCACGTCGCGGTCGTATGTTGCGAAGATCTTTTTGTTTTAGTTTACATGTAGCAGTGACAGAGTCACTATGTGTGAAAGCAGCAGTTCTGATGAAGAAGTTATTGTAGCGGCCGCATTTTTGGCAGAAGAAGAAGAAAATAAATAGAAGATAAAGAGAAAATGTGGGTCCACCCCATTAATCAAAAGCGGACTGAACGCGGAGAGTCCCATCATTTATTTAACGATTTAATTTCCCTAATTTTTTTCTTAGGACTGCTTTCTCGGACTTAACAATAACAACTGCCAAAATAATTGCAAAAACATATATGCGATCGAAAGGCTTCCATAAGTTAATGCAGGCCAGCGCCGGCCGGCCGGCTCCGCGTACAGTTGACCGGCCCGTCCCGGCACGGACCGTCGTTTGACGGGGAGAGTCGGAGAGCTGGAATCTGTTCCGTCGACAGACTCGCCGTTCCGTGCCGTGACGGGCTAATGTGCGGTAGTCTATTCATTTGCATGGTTTTAATCCTATCCGTATTTTGACGGGCCGGAACGGGACGGGACGTGACGGCCAAGTGGGCGACAAGCTTTACGCGTTCAGGTTTCTGTGACCTTCAGAAAGAGTTCATAGACAATCCGCATCAATGTATAGTTTGGGTTATTATTTGTTTGGGTGAAAATAATCTGCATCAATATGTTATCGAGGCATACAAAAAGGTCCACAGACTTCGAGACATACGAAAAATCAAGTCCATTTTCTGCCTTAACTGCGTCGCAATTTTCACACCTTAAAAAATTAGTTTTTTATAGCTATAGCAACTGCAGCGACTATGAAAAAAGCTGTGTGATTTTCATAGAAAATAAGGGCACCTGTAATTCATTTGAGAATATTATAAATCGCTAAAAGAGGTTTCAAATCTCTTGGATTTCTATTAATATTAAATAAATTTTATTAAAAATTGAACTAAAATTGTTAGTATCATTAAAAACAATTCAAATTCAAAAATTGTATCAGTCAAATTCCCTCATTTAAGGCGAATATTAAAGTAAATATAAATACAGCTCATTCTAAACTCTACTTATCTTTAAGAAAAATTTAAATCATTGTTGCAATTGGGCCTTAATGCCATTTCGAATGAACAATAGTATTAATAATGTACATTATAATAATAATAAATTTTATATCATAGTGTGTATTAAAAGTACTAAAACACTTTTAAATTGGTATTATATTAACAACTTTTGTTTTTTAATCCAAAAAAAGTTACCAATTTTCTCAATCAAAATATTTGTCTAAACAAAACTGTCATTTTTGAAAACTTGTCAAAATTTGGATACACGCTAAATGGACTTGATTTTCCTATGTCTCGAAGTCTGTGGACTTTTCTGTATAATCTCGCAGTAATTTAATAGATTGCTCGTCATATTATATCAGCTCGTAGGAGATTAGGAAAAAAAAAGATATTTATAGTATAAAAAATTAATTTATTTAACAAAATTTAATTAAATATGTGACAAAACATTTCTCAGAGGCTGTTTGATATAATGAAAACTATAAAATTTGACCACCCATGTGAGAAATTTCCTCTTATTTACATCATTAAATGATTTATTAGATTGAAAATATTTGATGTATTAAAGTTTACAAATAAAGATTTATATAGTCGAAAAAAGTCCGATAGAACCAATAGAAAGGTAACTATTTTGTCACATTTTTAATTAAATTTTGTTAAATAAATTAATTTTTTATACTATAAATATCTTTTTTTCCTTATAAATAAACACATTTGCATCCCATTTTAAATAAGATATACAAATTACCGAAACTTAGAAATAACAGTTCAAAAGTTCAACAAAAATCCTACACGCGTTTTTAAAAAGAAACATATAACCATGCACTATGTCATTCCAGCAAGCGAATACGACACAGCATACTGTGGCATAGGTTTCCGGACTAAACGACTGGTGTGTTTACACCACTCAATAGGCGTGTCGGGTTTGCCG